CTTTATTTCCTTAAACAGCAGAGGGTCTCCCACTCACATTTAACTTCCACCATATGCTTCACTTGGTCTATAGTCTCATAATTCAAGTTATGACTGTGTTTCCTGTATAAGCCACAGTCTAGGGTATGATCACCTAAATTTAAATTAATTTTACGTTAATTGACAGAGTCACTTCCAGTCATGACTTGGAATTTCTAGCCTAGTCTTGTTTAAGTTTTTTGTTGTTATTGTTTTTGAATAGTACATTACATATTTTTTGCCTTGTTATCCCACTTGCTTTAATCAGGATTCTGGTTGAAGGAAACTGTGTGTGTCCAGTGTAGTGTGTAGTCATGTTAAAGCTATACTTCACGGATAATTTTTCTACTAATAGAAGTCAAATGTTTATTCTCCTGTAAATGAACACCATTGTTGCAGACACCTCTGGGAGATTACTTATCATGAGGGAATCACTTAGTTCTTATTAAGAAGAAAGCAGCTTAGTGCTGAGATTCATGGTTGTAAGAAAAACCAACTTCCTTTATTTTTGGCATTCTCACTTCTCCAAAACGAAAATGACCATAGCAAGCTTCATGTCCAAAGACATTTGCATATATTCAAAATTCTTTGTTCTAAGTGTTGTTTTTTTTTCCCCCCTCTCATTTGTGTTTTCTGGGAACCCCTGTTGAGATATTTGCTTTAAGCAAAGTCAGCTTATATGAATATTTTCCCTGGGAATTTCATAATACGGACCCCATTCTTACACAGTCCTTAAAGTTAAACATGACATTTCCTTTGCATGATTATTTGGATCTGATTAGATCAACTTCACAAAACCAGGCCAGAAGGATGACAGCAGCCACATGATTATCTTGGAAGAGGTGAGGAGACCATCTGTCCCACTTACAAAGCTGAGAGAGGCATGCTGTCCTAGCTGCTAACCTGTGGAGGTTGTGAGTGGAGTCGTGGAAAGATCCTGAAACTCAAGTTGAAAACCGTGTCAATCATCTTCTCTCGTTCATACCTCTGCCTCTAATTCTTTAAGAGAGAGAGAGACAGAAAGACAGAGAGAGAGAGAGGTGTGTGTGTGTGTGTGTGTGAGAGAGAGAGAGAGAGAGAGGTGTGTGTGTGGGAGAGAGAGAGATGTGTGTGTGTGAGAGAGAGGTGTGTGTGTGTGTGTGAGAGAGAGAGGTGTGTGTGTGTGTGAGAGAGAGATGTGTGTGTGTGTGAGAGAGAGAGAGAGATGTGTGTGTGTGTGTGTGAGAGAGAGGTGTGTGTGTGTGTGTGAGAGAGAGAGG